CCTCAGCTTGTAGGTACGTAGCCCAAGTTTAACAATTCTTGGGCTGCGCAGTCCGCAAGCCATGCCCCACCCATTTCATCCCCAAAGCAAATCCTATCAAGTATCATAAGAGCTAGAAGAAGCAGCCAAATTTAGCTGAAAACCAGAAACAGATCTAGATCGCCTCCGAAAAAACAGTTAGGAATGGTTTTTATTGTCCCTCGGTTTCGCCATTACTCTTTTTATCATTTTATCCAGGACGGCAACAAAGTGCTCTTAAAGGCACGGGTCGAGATAAACTTGGTGTTTTTTGTTTGAAAATCAGTTAAGAAGTGCAATAAGGAAGGACAATAAGGAGAAAAGGAAAAAGAGCCATAGAAAATATCACGCTTTGTGATGTCGTGGTATAAGTGAGAGACACAGCGCTTTGAGGAGAGGGAAGACGCGAGAGCGGTTATAGCGACGAGGGCCCAGACATTCGTCGGTACCGCCCCCACTGAAGCAAAGCTTACGCGTTCCTCCCACTTCTCGACCTCTCCTAGCGGACACTCTTTCTCGACTTTCGCAAAATACTATAACTGACCTAATCCCGCGCCATAGTCAACTAGCAGCGAAGCTATTTTCACAGCCCATTGATGAGGATAAAAGGGGAAATCATGGACATATAACCGTTAATTGAAACCTGCAACTCACCACACAACAATCAAAACTATGCATTCACTCGGAATTGAAGCTCCTGGATGATAGAACAAGCCCAGAATTTTACCCGCATGGCAACTTGCAGTTGAGACAAGATATACTGAAGTGGGCCAAGTGGAGTGCGGTCCAATGGTTCGATGGCATTGCATTAGAGCGCAAAGGCGTAATTATTACACTGTGATTTCGCGAAAACCGTCGCGCAATCACTTCTGTTCGTTCTGCTCTGGCTTGGATCAGGACAGTCGAAGCTATTCGCTCTTTTTAGACCTTTGGGACTCAGCGAGATTTTCGAGACCCAAATTATCAGATCGATCAATTACTGAAGTCAAGTAGTTGAGTGATACGGACGAGTTGTCGGCCGCAGCAGGATGGGGCATTGCGGCCTGTGCGCTTGAGCAAATTCAGTCCTAGCAGGTTGGGCGTGGTCGGAAACGAACTGGCAACACGTCTCGCCGAATTCGACACGTCGACACATTCAGTCCTCGCTCAAAGGGTTTTCCCAAGGCTTAGTTTTTGTTCTCTCATACTTCTGACATTTTGTCTAGGGCTGACAGCTCCGAGTGGCGTGTCGAACTGCTGGCATATTCTTCGGTCGTTCCACTTACGGACTTGTTTTTGCCCTGTCAAGATCGGTAAGAGTGTGACTGAAGCCAAACCTCCAACATTAAAAAAAGCCGCTAGGAGAGAGGCTGAAGTGGCGTGGTCGATTGGCGAGAGGATTGCGTCATTTCTCGACCACGCCACTCCAGCGCTGAGACTGTTCTTTAATGTGAATGAGATCGCGCTATATGACGCTGCCGCCCCCCAATAGTGAGCCCAATCCCACTCTATCCGATATTATTTCAGTAACTGCACTTACACTGATGATTGAAGTCACATCACCATAAGGAAAATATATTACTCCTAATTTTCAACAAATGACCAAGATCCATTTGAACGCATTTTCATGTAATAATATGCGTTTTTGGATGTTCACTGACAATTATATGCTTATTATATGGAAGTCTACGTGAAATCTTTTGAAATCATAGTTGGTATTCCTATTAAAGAAAAGATGATACAAGAAAGAAAACTTTTGGGACCGGTCAGGCTTTCCATAGGATGCGCCACGTTTCCTACTCTGATTAGAATTGTAGGGGCATTTGAATTCGATTACGTCTATTTCAATAGCTTTTCTGGACCTGCATACTCTGTATTCTTACACTCTCAGGCACGTATTCTCTATCTGGAAAGGGCGGAAAGGATGGCTGGTTTTTGGGCCGCGTCTAGCCCACCATTTCGAAGCCCATTCAATGCGTGTGATGCGACGCCTCCTAGACACTGCTCGACGTTGCCTCTAAGAGGTCAACGTTGACAAACAGCCAAAGTAATCCTCACCAAATTCTCGTTCTATAGAAAGATTTTTCGGCGCTAAAATATGGCAATATAAGTAATAAAGAGCATCGTCGAGTTCATCTCCCTTCTCGCCTTCACGCGTCGCCGTTACTTATGAAACAGCTCAATCAAAAATGCATAGCGGTCGCTATATTCGCTGCAGCATAAATTGTTTTTTATGGGCCAAATGAGCTTACAACGTCATAAGTACGAATTAGTTAATTCTGGCGTACCCAAAAAGCTGAACCATGCCCGAGCGCTTTTCTTTCGATGGTTACATGATATGTACATCAACCCAACAATTGAATCACTTCTAACTTCTCTTTGATCAACTCTTTTGCCCTTATCAGGCGCTGATCAGCTGAGTGATAACGACGTCATAGACCTAGTTGATCATCGACGCTTGGATCGGATCAGGTACCAACACCCATAATAGCTATTATAATACTGGGGTATTGTGGAATTAAATCTGCTTTGCTGATAACATTCAGAGAGGCCAGTAAGACTTTGTGAATTTACATTAAATGAAAAACTTGAATTGAAATAAAATAAAGTTAGGGAATAATGGAGGCTGCAACACGTGTTTTGAAGGAATGCACGCGACACGTCCAACGGCGACGAGAACAGGACTTAAAGTCAGGTGCCACATAATTGTAAGGTCGAGACGAGCAGAATATACCCTATGAAGAGCGGCCGCATAGGAGTCGGCATGAAGCATGCTTTGCGCAAGGGTGTGACCTAGCGATAGCGGGTCTCCACACCTGGCAGCAGAACTATTTCCCGCGATGCCATCGCCCACAAGTTGCTACTTCAGCTGTTGATCTTTGTCCGCGTCGGAACTCTGGCGGATGGCAGAGAAGCAGTAGTAGAGGCTTACGGATCAATGAATATCAGCACCTATGAAACTGCATCACGTGGACGTTCAATAGGAGAAGAGGGAATACTTGTTGGAGTGCACGGAACTGTATTCCCATACACTTTTATCGACTATTGCACCACCTACCAGTCTGCTTCTGCCTTTGGAATGTGCCATGCATTGGAATGGCTGCGCTGCCAACGTCAGCAGTGAAATTGAAGTTGAACGTCGGCGCGTCTATCTATCCCCTATGAACAGATCAATGTTTGACCCGCCATTGGTTATTTAGCCATTTAAGCTACATTTGCCTTACTATTATTATATGCTTCTCACATCAGCTGTCTATTATAACCTGACCAAGTCTAGCCGCGTCCAGGTGGCGCTCGAACGCACCCTCACTTCCCAATTACGACACTATCCCCTCTGCTATCATTCCTCGTGGACGACTCTACTCGTAACCTTACTTCTGTACTTTTATCTGTTTGATTTGCTTATCACAAACTATATTTTCTGCTCGCTCCACCGCTCCATCGTTTGGATTCGGCATGTCATCTTGTCGTAAAAATAACTTGATTATTTGCAAATTTAACAAATAATTATTCACATTGGTAATCGGAGGAGCACTTAGATGATACTCTTGAGGTCCGGTGGCTCATGGTCGTGGGAATCGGATTGTCGACTCAAATCGTGAACCGCCATCTTCAGAAGGTAATGCTCTATGTTGAGAGTGGGAGGTTAAAGGCATGGGTCGCGATAAGATTCTCGAAGAATTTCCCTTCTAGAATGTGTGGAAGCAGGACCCTGACTTATAGGGGAGGCGATACTATTGCAACTTGCAAGTGGCCAACAAGGAGTAGTGTCTCGCTTGTACCGCTGCGTTGCCGCTGCCAAACTAACAGCACTTGCGCTCTGCGCCCTCTCGCGTACAACGTGCTCTCTCGTGCTTTCCCTATCCTCGCAGAGCTGTGTCTCTCCGTCGTACAACGATCAATCCTACATGAAAAACTTCAGTGTTCTATGACAATTTTTGCTTTTTTCCCATTAGCCTTGCCCTTCGAACTTCTTGCCTAACATCCAGACAAAATAAGGCCCCCTTCAATCGCGACCCGTGCCTTTTAGAGGATAAACAAACTACAAGTGCTCAGATTCCGCCTATATCATGCCTTTCGTGAGAAGTTCGTGTCACTTGCCCGTCAAAAATGACCCTTCCCTCTACCATAACATGACCGCTTAACTTCGACCTCCAAGGCCCCCTCCGAAAACTCAGACACGATTCCCTTGCTAAATATTATATGTACAATAACAATACACAAAGAACAGAAGCTCGATCCACTCTCCAGAAATCCCAGCAATCCCTGAGCATCGACATAGGCCAGGACAGTTGAACTGGACCGACCGAAAAGTTCAAAGTCTGGGGTGGCACGTTTTGGCCCACTCACCAGACTTGACGCCAACGAACTACACTACGTTCTTTCTGACGCTATCAAACCATATGAGATATAAGAAACTTGGCAACCAATACCAATTTAAAAATGCCTTGGAGCATTTTTTTGGTTAAAAATTCCAGGATTTTTATAGGAACAGCATATAAAGGTTACCAGAAAAATCAAAACATGTGGTCGATTAAGATAGTTCATGTTTTTCAACTGTTTATTGTATTGAAGATGAGCAGTTGGACTTTTTTTTAACTTTTCTGTTAGCTGTGTCTAAGGATTTTTCAAATATAAAATATCCTTTCCCATCCAAGTGACCCACAAAAACATCCAAGCACATTTTTGATCGATATGTCCCTTCCTAAACTAATCCCAAACAGACGCACTTCAGCCAAAAGAACTAAAAAAGAAAACAAATATTATATTTATGATTTCAAAATCCACAAAAATAAGACCAGTAAACAACAAATTTAAGAAAACAAAAATCTACTCATCAGAAGTTACTTATACATGCACAAAATACCTCGTAATATGGTTAGCAGTACGACTCGAGAACTGATTTCTATGAGCACCGGGTTCTGGCAAGCTCGTTTCCAGGTCATCATATCTGGAATTCTCGACCAAAGGCAGAAAGGAGAAAAGACTCCAGAATTGGATATTCAAAAGATCGAGTCCAGCAATTGGCGTCGTTGTTCCGTATTCATAAAAAGTGCCTTGATAAGTGATCGAACTTCTCCAGGTTGAAGCCACTGGGCCAACGGGCCTTTAGCGCTACACCAACGGTCATCGATGCTCTAAGATGAAAAGGCTCATAAGGTTTCGATCAAAAAATAATAAAAAAGCAAAATCCATGAAAAAAGAACTGACCATTTCAAAAAATATGAGAAAAGCTATTATTCCACAATTATACGAACATACCAGGTTGGTCTACAGCTGAACCTAACGAAGACGATGTTTATGAGAAACGGATTGGTTCCTGATGCCCCATTCACGCTCAACGGAACGAACATCACCGAATGCTCCAGCTACGTGTACCTAGGTCGGGAAATCAATATGATGAACGATCTAGCTCCAGAGCTGAGCAGGAGGAAACGAGCGGCTTGGGGAGCGTACAAGAACATCGAGGGAGTAGTGAAGAAGACGAAGAACATCCGGCTCCGTGCCCACCTCTTCGATTCCGCTGTCCTTCCTGCCCTAACCTACGCCTCAGAGACTTGGACTCTGCGCAGGCAGGACGAGCATGCGGTCAGCGTTATCCAACGCGCTGTCGAGAGGACGATGCTAGGAGTAACCCTATACACGCAAGTGCAGAGGGGAATCCGGAGTGCCGAACTACGGCCAACCCGAACTAATAAACATTCGAAGATCAGGGACGCTGCCGTTTTCGCCAAGGAATCGAAGATAAGGTGGGCCGGACACGTCATGCGATTTTGCGATGACCGTTGGACCAGAGCGGTTACCGACTGGATCCCTCGGGACGTCAAACGAACACCTGGACGACCGCCGGCCCGATGGTCAGACTTCTTCACGAAAGCTCTGAACGAAAGGAATGAAGGACTTCGTGTCCCTCGAGCGAGGAGGATCCACTGGACCACTCTAGCACGCGACAGGGACGAATGGAGACGTTGCTGGCGCCCGCTCGAGCAATCGATGATCAACGGGACGACAGGTGATACAGGTATGAACATACAGAGTAAAAAAAACAAATGGATTTCAGTCTGACGTTTACACTTAGCAAAGAGATACTCGCGAAGACGATGACACTTAGCTATACTTCCTCAATAAGAACCTGTTCATAGCATGCGCGTGAAGCATTCTTCCCAGCCCTAAACCGTACTTAGTTCAAAAAGCCTCGAAGTTCATTAAATTCATTGCTACTAGCGATATTTTCGCTGGCCGGCACTTGTGGTCAGCGCCTGTTTATACCTGATGCCGAAAATGCAAACTTCTGCATCAAAAATCGATGATACAACATTTGCACCACGGGGTACGCAACGGGTTAACTGCTAAAAGTTAACTGTTCAAAGGTGCCCTCCACTCAACTCACGCATCATAGCGCATGAAATAGACTAAACCCATTCCAACCAAAACAATGCCTATATGTAACTTCGCCACGATTGGATCGATGAAACCAAGTCATATACAAATTGACAATGTATTTTAAACACTGCTGGAACAGCAGAGCACTCACCTGAAGACTCCCTTTCAGACAAAAAATAATCTCTTTTGTACGGAAGTACGACGTGGAACAGACCTCGTGAATCGCTGAGCGGCCATTGATCTAAAATAAAATTGAGAGAACAAGTCAATTTGAAAAAAAAACTGTTATACTTACTCTGAAAATTGGTGCCAGTTCTGTCAATAATGTGTCGACCATATCGGCCGAGATATCCGCGTCCACCGACCGTATGTCTTCCATTCGAAGGATCACATCGCAAATGCTGTCCAGAAGAAATGAGACAATATTGGCCATCGTTTGTGAGTAAACCATCTCAGCCAAAATCTTAATTCAATACATCTCGATTATAACATAAGTAAATACTACCCGCTAACCTCACACTGAACGAGGAAAGTAATAGCAATAATAATAATAACATAACATAAATGTACAAAAGGAAAAAAAACTCACGCCCTTGAGAAGGTGAGATATGTTCTGTACATGTTTGAGGCACGCGTTAAGGACGTCTTTTGTCTCATCACAGCGTTCGAGGTCGTCGATTTTTACAAACACTGCAAACACAACAATTAAAGAAACCAGGCGACGTTCCATTACACATAGGTAAAAGTCAATGCTTTGCCAGCGCATGGTCGCAGTCGCCTATCTGTCACCTCCTGAATCCAGCAAGAGCTCAGACCACTTTCATTCAAGCGATTTTTTCTAATCCACTTTTGCAATTTTACGAACACAACACTTAAAAAACTACACAAAAAAACTATCTTGAAAACGTCCGTTCCACTAAGTTAAACAGACTAGCTACCCTGAATTCCTAGAATTATTGGAATTCAGACGCATCACGCTGCAATTGAGCGGGGTTGCGCACTCACCTACCTCGCCATGGCCGATGTCAGACTTCGCGAATCGAGCAATTCGGCGTCTGCGGTCGTGTCGCGTACATACAATCGACCGCGGACGTGACGCGACTCGCTCGATTCGAAGTCTGACATCGGGCTATGGCATACGAGCGAATTTATCGCGTCACTACAGCAATGCTAGACGCAAATAAGCTACAGCTGCACCATTTTCTGCCACATTTCCTTCACTCCTTCACACTCAACAACACAAAATGGTCTGTTTAGCAGTAACATGGTTTCCGATCGGTTTTTTATCTGTTTAGGAGCACGCCGCACTTCGTCACTGCCTTTCCTATACCGCAAATAGAAATAGCACATCATGAAAAACAACTTACAATCATCTTTTGC